CGGAACGTCTTTTTAGCTGTCCTATAACACCTTTAAACGGACACCCTGCAGCCAATCAGAATTGAATATTCACCCAGACCATGGTATAACACCTTTTAATGGACACCCTGCAGCCAATCAGAATTGAGTATTCACCCAGACCATGGTATAAACTAAAATTATACAACAGTTAGTTCCGACCGAGTAATTTGATTGGAGGAGAGGCATTCCATGAGTGCTGATGTAGCTGGGACATGTAACAGTAAAATCACTCCGCTCACAGGTGTTATACATATAAATACAACTGTTAATTAACCAGCTGTCACACTTGCTACATTGACGCAAACTGACACTATAGCGTTACACCAAGAAGATGGATATATTCCCCAAAATTACATTTGAATTAAATTATGAGTGGTCGTCAGGAGAGGACGAGGAAAAGGAAAGCCAGGACTCTTCAGTGCAGACCTCCAGGTGTGTTTGAATCCGGCCGTGCCAACATCCAGGTTTGCCAAAATTTCATCAGCCGAACTGGAAGAAGTTACACAGATGCAGATCAATGTAAATACAAAGTAGCTTGTGAGATCCTGGTGTGTGTGCTGCGTTGCCTGGCAACAGACCGGGGGAACTGTTTTTTGTCGCGGAGCTACATAACATACTTAAATCATTTATTTCATCACCTTTTGTTAACATTTCCTTACTCAGCATTGCTGTTTAAGCTGTTGTTGAACTGTTGTATAAAATCAATATCACACTTGAGGTTGTGATGTTGTACTGTATATCATCACAGATGTAATTGTCTTTGGCACTCGGCCTGCGGCCTCGTGTCTATGACCGAATCACAGCCGTGACGATATACAGTACAACATCAGTCCCTCTCGTGTGATACTGCTTAAGTGCAACAGGCAGAGGAACATGTCGGAATCCAGCTAAAGGTAAACACAGACGTTTATTTCTCCTTTCTGTTATGTTGTCGGATAATTATACTAACAATCCGAGCCTATCTGTGTGAATAAAATGCCCTTTTAGTGGACATATTTTGACGTTGTTTGACGTTGTCTGAGTGCCCTATCATTTAATATAGCGCGTGCTCACGGGCTGCAGGCAGGTCTGCCCTAGCTTCGTACTGGAGAGATGTCAAATATTGAACATCCTATCACTCATTTAGACAAAAGTAGATCGGAAAATAGGGCCCAGGTTGACAAAAACATTAGTTCCCCTTTAACTGAGTCCGGCAGGCCCTTCAGGATCATTGCAGTTAACGAGCCATCACTTAAAGTTTCTCCTGCATTCCTCAGTGCCGCGATAGCAGTCTCTGCGCGAACAACATAGTCTGTGATGCTCTCATTAACAGCATCCTGAAGGGACGTCAGCTCCGTGTATAAGCTGATCACTTGTAGCTTCCCCTTACCAGCGTAATGGTCCCTCAGAATCTTTAGCGCCTTTCTGCCATCATCCGCTGCGTCCCTCATCACAAGGGACAGGCTTTATCGTCCAACAGTTGAATCAGTTCTACGTACGCCTCTTCCATTTTTCTCAGTTTCGTCTGCTGCACCGTCATCATCGGCGGCGTCCTCACTGGGTGGCTCATTGAGTATGGTGATCTTCAAATTATCATCAACATCGAAACGGAAACGGTTCCATCGGCTTCCAAGCTCCTTCCTGGGCCCATAACCTGTTGGAGCTGCCATCATAAAATGGGCTGGAACACCGACTAAAATGTTTTAACTGACGGAGGAATAATCACACGCAGCCATCGGTTTCGTTTGACTGGCATACACACACACACAGCTGGAACAGGGGCAAGCAGTCATTTAATAATTTGCGACACCTGCTACCTGTTTACCACGCCCCTTCTCCAGACAACCTGGTCAGTGTAAGAGCACATTCAAGATCAACAGTATTCAACACACTTTTAATTGTTTTTATGTGTAGGTGAAGACAGACCTGAGGAACAGGCTGCATGGGGACCATCTGGCTGCATGCATGCTACTCAGCATCAATGGGTCACCTCTGACCGAGTTTCTATACGACATAGCCCTGTGACATACATCATCAAGATGCAGTTCCTGAGTTGTAACCCACTCCTCTACAATATTTCATTCTGACTATGACTTTATGAGTGAGGCAAGGGTAAAGGACAAGGGAATAGAAAGGGTTAAAGAAGTCCTGTATCTAGACTAGTTTTTTTTCTAGTTTTTTTTATTTCTTTTTTAAATTTCCACTTTATTTACTTCACATGCATTTAATACACCTATGTTTTGTCATGCTGTGACATACATCATCAGGTGGAGCTAAGGAGAGTTGTTTTAAATGGAATAAAAAGGAGCTAATCAGTGGGTTCAGCTCCAGAGAAAGCAGCTGTGTGACTGTATTTCACTGTATTGCTCTTCATTTTAACATGGATTTGCATGAAGTTTTTGCCTGGACCACAACAGCTGGTCCAGCACTGTAGCTCTATTAGTGCTAGAGTGAAAGTCTGTAAGTCCATGACTGAATGAATGCCACCACTTCCAGTCAACAGAAATACTGCGCCTCTATGGAGGACCTCTAGCTCACCTGGTAGAGTGTGCACCCCATACAGGCTGAGTCCTGTTCAATGGCCTGGGTTTGATTCCAACCTGCACCTGTGTGTGTGTGTGTGTGTGTGTGTGTGTGTGTGTGTGTGTGTGTGTATGTGCTATCTAAGCAGCTAACTAACATTAGCTAAAGCTGGAAGCTAACAACCCAGTGGGCTATAAGATGTTTTATACATCTAACAAACCAGAAACAACCAGACCCAAAATCTAAATTACATCTTTGGTTCTTCTGTAGAACTAAAGAAGCTTCTTGGATGAGGGGTTAAATGTCTTCAACAAATTCAAGCAAGTCCAGTTACCTTCGATATAGTGCTTACCATTACCATGACCTGGATGACTGAGACTCTTCACCTACATCATCCTAACATCATGCTCAGAAAGGGTGATAGGTGTGAAAGGTGCACTTACCCATCCACTAATCTCTGTAGCTGTTTTTGCTTGTTGGCTGCTGATGGTCTCAAATCAAGAATTAAAGTTACTGAGCTCTATCACTACAGATATATCAGCACTTTAAAAGGAGGGGTAGTGGCCATACTCTGTCATACTTCTTAGAGCTTGCCACATGCTTCTCACATTGCCCTTTGGAATTGTAGTTATTTCTTCCTGATGTGCCTTGTTGCCTCTTTTACTGCTCTTCTTACATTGTTGGCTGCTGCTTTATAATTCGTTTTGTTTTCCGACTGTAGCCCTAATGTGAAGGCTGTGCAGACTGCAGGGCAGCCTCTGATTGGCCTGACCATGACCTGACCTCTCATGTCACTTGGAGCATGTGTCATAGTTTGTCAACATACTTTGACCTCAGCAAATTGGCTGCATGGTCACTCTTTCCAAACAGAGAAAGTAGCCACCACTGAATGCTGTATAGCAGTGATCCAGAGTCCTTACTCCCATTGTGGCACAGTTAACATGTTGATGGAAGTCAGGCCTAACCTTCTTCAGGTTAGCCTGACTTAAATGTTGCAACAATGAGCACAGCGCCAGGGTCAACAGTCTGTAGACAGTTCAGGTCTTTGCAAAGATCTGACAAGGCAGCCTCTGTATTCACTTGTGGGGGGATGTGCACCGCTGTGATAATGACTGATGTACATTCCCTTGGTAGAAAGTGCGGTCTGCCTTTGACTGTCAGTGACTTCAGAGCCGGTGAGCAAGAAGAGACTTCACTACTCCAAGGCCAAAATACACAACATATATTCAAACGTGTCACCAGCTTGTGATAAATGTCAAACCTCAGAAGCAACCCTTTCTCACAGCTTTGTCTTGTGCCCTAAGGTTGCATCTTTTTGGTCTGATGTTTTGAACAGCATCTCAGAAATTATTTATATTTTACTAGAACCAGAGCCTATGTTATTCATTCTGGGTGTATCTGAAGCGTTAAGACAACTCTCCACTGCCCAACAAAAATTCCTCTCCTACTGTATCATTACAGCAAAAAAAGCTACTACTAATGACTAATGTCATGGAAAGGAACAAAAGTTCCAGCCTACAATATGTGGCTATGTGACCCAGTACACTACACTTGGAAAGGATATGTCTTGAAGGGCAGACTCCAACAATATACCACAATTTGGCAATGTCTCAAATCACACCTCACACAAGATGCAGTTCCTCAGTTGTAACCCACTCCTCTACAATATTTCATTCTGACTATGACTTCATGAGTGAGGCAAGGGTAAAGGACAAGGGAATAGAAAGGGTTAAAGAAGTCCTGTATCTAGACTACGTTTTTTTTATTTCTTTTTTAAATTTCCACTTTATTTACTTAAGTGCATTTAATACACCTATGTTTTGTCTTGTTTACATGTTTTTGTTCATGTCCTCCGTCATCTGTGAGTTTATCATTTCAAAACTGTTTTCTGTAAAATGAAATGAGAGCTGAAACTACAACATGATATATGTAACTTCATCTTTGGCTCAATAAAAAATACTTGGGGAAAAAAACATCCCCTATCATTAATTAAAGGACAGTTATTCTTTTCAATGATCATGTGTGACACTGAGGGGCTCTTTCTGTGTCTCCGTACCAACAAAGTAGCGGCAGACTCATCTGGTTAAAAAATGGGCCCAGCTCATGTTGGTTCTGCAGGTGCATCTGTGTGATCGTCCACTTGCACTTCTTTTATGAGAATAACATCACTGGTTGTGTGGAGTTTATACTTTTTAAAGACTTTTTTTCCATGTTACCAAGACATTAGCGCTTCACAGATTAGAGTGAACAGAAATAGCGATCAACTTCCTGGACCTGAACCATGTTCATTTTCACGTTTGGCAAGTGTCTCAAGCTTTTGACTGGTACTGTAGGTACATATCTTTAAAGATGACTGTCAAAACTCCGCAAACAGTTCATCAAGTTCACCAGTAAAAAAGTTGCAGGGCCATGAGTTTTTGAAAACATACACAACTTAACATTAACAATGTGTTTGATTGTTTTTTAAGAATTCTTACCTATAATGCCAAAGGAAAGGAACTTGTTGACGGAAGTAAGGGCAAGGCCTGTTATTGGTCCAGTGGTGTCCTCAGAGCGGACGACTTCTAGGAAGGGCCTAAGAAAAACATTGGGTTCAACATCTGACAGCTCTGAAAAAGAAGAAAAACACACACAACAGTCAGTCATGAAAATCATGAGATTACCAAATACACCATTTAAAACACTTTTGTCCTGAACAGTTCTCTGGGGAACACACACAAACAAGAGAAGTATTTATAAACTAAGCACAAAAAGTAAGGGAATTTGTGTTTGGTAGATTATCTCTTTATTGTAACAATGCTTCTTGGCAATAAATCTTATATTATTAGAAAGCCAGTTTATTTCCCTTTTAAATGGTGCCACATTTGTAAGGAACATGCATTTGTGGGATGAGCAGCAGAGCAAATTTTTCATCGGCGCAACCCACATATGCGCCGATGAAAAATTTGCCAAATCTTCTCTGCCAATGCCAAGCAGCTTTTTTTTGCTGTTGACTCTTGTTTGGTGTTGTTTGGTGGATTGGATGATTGAAGTCTGAAGAAACAAGGCATATTGTCAATTTAACAATTTATTCATTTAACAAACAGGAGCCTCAGTTGAAGAACCATACACAGCCACAACAGCCTGGCGGAAGAGCCATCGATGGAGAGGGAGAAGTTTTGGGTGGATTTCATGAGAGATTTGGGGCCGATGATGATGACTTCTGATTTGTCACAGCTAAGTTTATTTAAGTTTTATTTCGGTGATGCAGCTGGTGAGGGTAGAGTGAGTGGCAAGAGTGATGGCTTTGGTGGAGATGTGGAGCTGAATGTCATCGGCAAAGCAGTGAAACTGAAGTCCATGACGGTGGATTGTGTGACCAAGGGGAAAAATATACAGGATGAAGAGGAGGGGGCCGAGAACCGAACCTTGGGGAACACCTTGGCAGAGGGGAGCAGTGGGGGATTTGCTGTTGTTTATGCTGATGAACTGGTGTCTGTCAGAGAAGTAGGAATTGAGCCAGGAGAGAGCAGTGCCGGTGATGTTATGAGTGGTTTCAAGGCGGGAGAGAGGGATGGAATGGATGATGGTGTCGAATGCTGCACTCGGATCAAGTAACATGAGTATGTTGAAACTGCCGGCATCAGAGGAGAGGAGAAGGTCGTTTGTGACTTTGAGGAGGGCTGATTCAGTGCTGTGGTGGGAACGGAAACCGGACTGGAATGATTCATAGAGGTTATTGGCAGAGAGGTGGGCTTTGAGTTGTGAAGCAACAGCACGTTCCAGAAGTTTTGATAGAAAAGGGAGGTTGGAGATGGGTCTGTAGTTATTTGGGATGTCAGGATTGGGGGGGAATGGAGAAGAAGAAGAAGACAACAAAAAGACTGGCCACTAATGCATAAGATAACATAACGTTACAACAAAATTCAACACGCTCATAGTTATTTTTAGTATGACTGTTTTGACCACAGGTAACAGCGCTATGCTACCTCACGACTGAATTTACTACATGACGTTAGCTACAGGAGCTGTATAGTAAACTTATTTAATGCTAATGACAAGTTAGCATGTTAGCATGACTGACTAACCGGCTATTTTATCAGAATCATATGACATAACATGACTGAATGTGATGTGACATGAATAAAACTTTCATAAATTTCCTTGTCAATAAACATGACTTCTGCCATAGTCATGACAGATTTTTGACGGCAATGAATGACCCAATGCTACTTCAGAATGTCATCAAGGTCAGTCTGTTGTTATTGTTTTGACTGAGAACTGCAGAAATGACACTGTGGGTTTAAAACTTGTACAGAAAATACTGACCACAGTTGAGATTTTTGTTTTGTCTATTTATTCTGTTTTCATTGTCCATTCCATTGTTATTTATTGACATTATTTTGATTAGAATTGTTTTCAATCTTCTTCAGGTTTGTGAAATGTTCTTCTGTTTGGCAAGTGTACTGACAAAAAATAATAGTTTAAACCACAATTAAACTAGATGTCTGTTATCTTCAACTTTCATTCAGGAGAAAAAATATCACCTCTTAAATTGAAAGAAATAATGATTTTAAATTTTTTAAATAATCATCGGTATCAAATGATATCAAATTTTTATAGTGGTAACATTTTCAGCCATATCACCCAGCCCTAAGTATTCATGTCAGTAAGTCACACCAAGTAATTCTTACAGCTGATTAAATCCAGCTGCAGTTAAAGATGCAACAGATCTTCCTCTGTAATTAGTTCCCAGAAAGGGAGCTTCACTGGGCATTTCACTCTGGCATTTCAATCACCTTTGGCCAACCAACCCTGACTTCAAAAGTCTCTTTCTTTCTCTGGAGAATTCAGAAAGGGGGTCAAGACGGGGAAGCAAAAATAAAAAACAGGTAAAACAACAATGGGGGAAAATTAGTGGAGTCACGCATGCCGCTGTGAAATGTGCCAGAGGAGTGCTTGCCACAGCAATACCGAGAGGATTATGGCTTTCTCAAGAGCAGCTCCACTCAAGACAAGTAAAAAACAACCTGGACATCAAACGCGCTTAGGAAAGTGTCCAACCATTTTCCAAAAGTGCATGTGACCGCTGTGCATTGGTTAGTGGAATCCAACACCCCTGGAGCTTGTTTAGAAATTAAATATGAAATGATTTGGAAATTTACACAGTTCCTTCATGGGCTGCCAGGTCATTCAAAGGCTTTGCTTTTAAAAGGAAGTCTCTTGCTCACTGCTTTACTGAATATTTGTTTATCTTATGTTTTATTTGGTTAATGTTAAATGTGAAAGCTTGAAGCAGTTTTGAAGCAGAGTGTAAATTTAGCAACAATTGCACAAAAACAAACACTTTTCCCTTTGAAGGCAATAAGAGGAACATAAACTTGTGAATTTAGCTAAATAGAAATGGTTTGTTAACTTGCTCTGTTGGTTCAACCTGTCCATCAGCTGCCAGAAAACTTTTTAAAGACGGTTTTTGTGTCCCATTATTTTACAGTGTAGTAAGGGTTGAAGAAGGGTGCTCAAATGAATCTGTCAATAGATCCTGATGAAGACTTCATCAGAGGCGATCACCCTGTAAGTGCTGTGGCTGCGTTCCCAAAGACCACAGATTGGAAAACTCAATTGTGTTGTATTGATCCAGCTGGCCATCGGTGAACACAGGGCTGACTGGAGCAGTCTGTCGGTGGCCACCGCCAATCTTCTTAAATAAAGTCTAAATACAGGCTCTGTACTTCAACTCAATCTCCGGGGCTTGTGGAGTGAAGTGAAATAAATAATGACAGCTGCAGCCTTGGTGAGGCAATCATTCTATCACCAGGTTAACCTCTGGCTGACATTGACCAAAATAAAAAAATAAATAAAAACACAGGATTAAACTGGCTCACCCAGGCGTTCACATAGCCATCTAAGGGCTGGGTGTGCTGGGTACAAGACCTGATAGTAGAGCGCATACAAGTCCAACTCAAGTTCAGCTTAATTGGTTAAAAAAAAAAAAAAAAAAGAGGTTTGTGAAATGAGCCCATTACGATTCACCATGAGCCTAATCCTATCTACCTTTACCATGCTGGAGCTATAGTGAGAGTATCCAGCCATGTGTGGATTAACTCTCCAAATGACCCCAGCAACAAGAGAGAGGAGAGCGGGGGTGAACCTTTGCCCCCAGGAGAGCACCTCAGGATGAGGCAGCTCACCACAAAACAGAAGCCATCTTTAACACATGCACATCTATTGGTACTGAAGCAGAAAAGGCTTATAACACAGGAAGCAACAGCAGGAGATGAATCTGAGCTGCAGATGCACCTTATTGTCCAGACAACAGTAGAAAAAGAGACTGCACAGGGAGGATCAAGAAATGAAACAAACAATATCTACATCCAACCAGGCCACCTAGATTCAAAACACATAAATATTTTAATGTGGAGGCTCCAAAAATCTTTGCAGGGTTTTCTTAGCAGACTTCAGAGTTGTACAAACAGGCCGTCTTCACAACTGTCCCTGGCGTGGCATTCACAATCCCCCAACAGCAGCTGACATTACAACCCAGACAGTCTGTGGTGTGGTGAAGCTGAGTGCAATGTATCTGTCTGAGATGGAAGTTCAGCGTGCCAAGATGGCACTAAAACATTCGAAAGTGTTACTATACTATACGTAGTGCTGCACAGTTAAATATTAATCACAATCATGATTTTGGCTTTCAACAATTAAATGAAGGTGATGGACTGCGATATTGACATTTAAAATGCCTTGTTTCCTGAAAAACTCTGCAGTATATTAAAATCAAGTCCCAGTCAAATTTCTTTTACAGTTTACATTCAGGTCTGTGAAAACATGGATGCTTCACACACATCTTCCCCCCGGCAGCACAGGTGATCTATACAATCAGCACAGTCATAAATTCAGTATGACCAAATGTCTCCCCTTTTGTTCCTGAGATATGACGTTGAGTAATGGCCAAAAAAGTGTAAAAATGTTCTTAATACAATTTTTTTTTTTTTTTTTTTTATAAATGATCAAAAAATATATATATTGGGAAATGTTAAACATTTTCTTACTTGCCAAATCCAAGAGAGAAACAACACTGGATGACTTTTTTGGGGATTACAGTGAAATCTAATTAATTTTGTTGAAAAACAGTTTTCGGTGTGTGATTCCCTTTGCATGACATAAACGTTGATTATTTATGAACTTATGTTTAAGTTGTGTTAAACAAACTGACAAAGGTGTTATGCCGAGTAACAATTTCAGTCAAGCGGGATAACACTTATTTTTACCACCTTAAAACACACAACTTCATTTTATAGAGTTAAGAAAACAATAATAGCATGATGTTAAGTACTGTAACAGGTCATCAGACATTGCAGCTTAAATCACATTGCAACATTGCAATTTGGGTAAGGAATTTGAATAATTAGGGTCACATCTAAAGCAAACACATTAAAATGAGATTTGGTAATTGCGCAAGTTTTACTTTCTGAGCTCTAAATATTGGTTACTGTGTCACTTCATAAATTTACAAAGTATTATTTGAAAAGGTTTAATATGATATTCATTGGAGAATTCATTGATGTTTAACCTACTTTAATTTTTGGTCAACTCGAAAACCTAATTTGTCATTGGGCCTCATTCTTGA